TAGCTGTCAGCTATTATGCGATTATGGGTAACTGAGATGACAAAACGTCAGCCAGAAAACTCCAACTCACACGCAAACCCAGACATCCAACCTCTGCTGCCGACCCCTCAAGCAAGTGCCTGTAAAGAGTAAAGAGATGAGTGTTGCACATATATGAGAAACTATCATATATGTGCAAGGTCTAGTTGAAGTTGTTGTTGGAATATTGGCCCGAGAACCTTCTTACATAAAGATCAGTTGAGAACTGGGTCTTGCTTTCAGCAGGCTAAATTGAAGGCAAGTGGAGCATATTATAAGCTGAAACATCTATTTGGCTGACTGCGGGGGCTTCTGCTTATTATCTGACGTCTTAAGACTGGCTGACTTGTGCAGTGGGAAGGCTAGTGGGGGTGTTAGGGAATCAACAAAATGAGATGTTTACATACTAGTAAGAGTTGCTTGGAGCTATGAAAGCCTTAACTTTTACACTTTTAGAGGCTGTCAGGGAGAGATGTATACTAGTCAGTAACAAGGTAAACTGACCTCAATCTCTAGTACATGCTTTATTCAATCTGTGGAGGATTTACAACAGCATTTTTGTGTTGAGGCTGCTGCTTTGTGCTAATCATATCATGCTAATGCTGCTTAAAGAAACATTTAAATGCAGGGAGAGGAAAGGGAATAGAAAGTGCAACTTGAGAGAATAAAATGGAAAACAGCCAAACACGTGTAATGTGCATGTATTGGCCACTTATATTGCTGGTTGTGGCAGCAATGACGAGGGGCATATTGATTTTAGTGAGGGGAGGATTAAGCCCAGATTTTTGTAATTTAAGACTTAACAGGAGCTAAGTGGGCAGTTTGGTGACACTTAACAGGCATTTAGCAAATGAGTTCATTCCTGTTGCATGATTGCTGAATGACCATTTGTGATGGTTTATGGGGTTATGGTGCACTGCTGGGTATGGTGATGATATTCTAGAGATGCTACTCCAGCTGTGACCCACATAAAACTGTCATGTTTGCCAGTAGTTTATTTTATTTGTTTATTGTCGCTGTATATAACACAGTGGTGGACGATATAGAAAGCTTAGATTGTGTTACTGAATAATTTCTTTTGGTTGCATGACTTCATTTCTTCCCCATGCACCTGTGGATAGACAGGGAACAACCACCCCATATTATACTAACCCTACATTTTTTTTGTCACTGAGTTACAATGCACTAAAACATTAACATGCTTAAAGCTGGCACTCTTTCCTTATCCACTGTTGTAAACTCTTGTTGGTGATAATGCCATGGAATCCATAGCACGTGCTGTAATCTGTAGGCACACCAACACCTGTTAAGGAATGAGCCTTAAGTTTGCATTTCCTTAATTACTTTAAATCAGAATGACCATAATGCAGGTTTTGTATGCAGGGCCGATGAGGGTGGGGGGGGGGAAGCCAGTACAAATTACCGGGGCCCAGCAGTCCGGAAGGGGGCCCGGGGCCCCGCTTCCTCCACCCGTCTCGTCGCCTTACCGGGGTCCGGAAGGGAGCCCGGGGCCCGGCTTCCCCTCCCCCCTCTCGTCGGCCCTGTTTAGCCGGTCCGCCCTTGCTGGGGGGCCCGAAAAAAAATTTTCACCGGGGCCCGAACCTGCTCTCGGCAGCCCTGTTTGTATGTCAATGAACCACACAGTTGTGCCTTTTAACTCTAATTTTGGGGCCCAATGCATTGTTAGCATCGTCTTTGATATTTTACACAGATTTATTGTAAGTAAACTGCAGCTGTTTGAAATCGATTTCTAATTGTAACTGAAAATTAAAATCAAGTACTGTATAGACTTCATCCTCTTTCCAGTGAAGAAAATGACAAAACTCCCATTGACCTCAATAGGAGCTGGCTCAAGCCCTGTATTTTAAACAGTGTAACAACCCTGGTTGTGTTCATGCAGCCCATTGACTCACTCGAGTAAGGGTGGCATGACTACGGTCTGCATCATGGGCCAAAACCTGAAGTTCTTGATTATTACAGTACTTTGTCCTTTCTCAGGCAAAACTCCCATTGACTCAGCGGGCCAAAGCTAGCAGGAGGGACATATCTTATTTAGGGTTCAATTGTGATACCACCATAGAGCACAGAGTAGGAGATGATGTGATATTGCCCTGCCTCTAGGAGAGCTCCTGGAAGCATTGTGCTTTAGACAGCTACACTGCCTTCAGGAGCATCTGCGGAGCACATCTGCTGTGCCTGCCTTGAAGAAGGGCCCATGTGTGCTTCCCCAGAATGGGGCCAACTCTGCCTGGCACAGAAAGTGAGTAGGGGCATAAGCACACAACCTGTGAGGCATCAGATGCTGGCAGTGGCACTAGACTCAAGCCATCCTTGTACTCAGAGGAGGAAGGGAGGGCACAAGGGGAAGTTCCTTTAGCATCCTCCCTTCACACCTGCACAGTTATAACCTGGCACTCAGCACTGAGTCAATCTCCCATTGACTATGCTACCCTCAACTGAGCTCTGACTGCAGTGGCAGTTTGCCTGAACAAGGCGATTAAGTGAAAATGAATAAACCTTGCAGAACAATCCCTTGATACAGATTGCAAGTCACTTATGCAAAGGGAAAAGAAGAAAGCCCAAAATAGGCACTTGGGAAACTCTATCACTTCCCTTCTTGCTGCCTGATTTACTGTTTTACAACTGCCTGGGTCTCTTTCTTCAGTACATCTTAAACTATTTAAGGACTTAATATAGCTAGGATAAAACTTAAACTGTTTAGTCAGAGGAGTTTTGATTAATAAGGTTAAAGGGCTTAGGGTATATTTTTCCACTGTGGTGTGTGGGAAATTAACTAAACATTTTCCATGAACCATAATGAGATGAGAGTTGTGCTTCTTAAATCTTTGTCATATGAAAAAAATTAAGTACAATAATGCATATTTGGCATCTAAATTATATTGAACTTGGCCAACATATACAGTGTAATATAGCCTACAGTGTATGTATGTATGTAAAATATTTGGAAGAGTAGACAAGTATATGGAACTATTATGAATTTTATGTATGTGGAATTAAAATGATTTCCAATGTGTTATAGGGATTTTATTGGAATGTGAAATTGGGACTTTTTTGCACATCACGTATATTTTACATTTATATACAGAACATTTGAATCTTTGTTTAAAAAATAATTCAATGATGTACATCATGCTGAAAATGCTTCCACTCTCTGAAAAATTAAAATAAACAGTGCCAACTGTTTGGCCAGTAGCATTGACTTTATGGGACAGCATCTTGGCTGGTGTCACTGTCATAGGTCTATTGATTTCACTGAAGCTGAGTTCAATGGAGTTATGCCAATATACACCAGCTGAGCATCTGCCCCTATATGCTTGCTGATCTTTAGAGGAGTAGTGGAAATGAACTGAACCACCAGGTAGCTGAAGGCAGTAATCCACACATTATCTCTTCCTGAATTCTTACTGGAGCAGGGCGAATGGATGATAGTTAAGCAGCAAGAGCTGGAGCCTACAGGCTGCTGAGCTGAGGAAAGATGTGGAGAGGGAGCGTGCTTGTCGCATGCTTTGCACCTGTGAAAGGAGGCTTGTATATAGTGGGCCTGATCCCGTAAAATGCTGAGTGCCATCAACTTTCACTGAAGTCAACAACAGAGGAAGGTGTTTTACACCTGGCACGATTGGGCCTGGTGTACAGAAATGTGCAGCAGGCTGAGCAACGTGACTAACCTCTGTACCTAAGAAGGTGTAGCCAGGACAGAGATGCTTGAGCACAGTCCAGTGACAGCACTGCTATGCTTAGCCACCATTTTTTAGACGTTTCAGTCACTCCTCCTGCCAATCTGGAGTAATGGCTCATTCATGTGTGCCTAAGAGGTGCACTTAGTAGAAACTGAAAACAAGGGCAGCTGTGAGGGGCTTGGTCCTGACCATAGCCCAGAAATGCACTTGATGATCGTAAGAAAGCAATAGCTCTCCTAGTGAGATGCTCCGTGTCTCATGCCCTATGCTGGGTACAGTTCCTGCAGGCCCCCACCACACTGCAGCACCCGCTCCTCCCAACTTACTGGATCGCAGCTTTCAAAACACCATGTATAGCAGCCCTCAGCATTGTTCCCCCTCATCTGACCCCGGCAAGACAGAGGCCTAAGAGATTGAGTTTGCTGCTGGGTTAATACACCTCTACCTCGATATAACGCTGTCCTCGGGGGCCAAAACATCTTACCGCGTTATAGGTGAAACTGCGTTATATCAAACTTGCTTTGCTCTGCCGGAGTGCGCAGCCCCGCCCCCCCGGAGCACTGTTTTACCGCGTTATATCAGAATTCATGTTATATCGGGTCGCATTATATTGGGGTAGAGGTGTATATGCTTGGGTCTAAAAGCTGAGCTCTATCAGTGCATGTAAACAGCCTCACATGCTGCTTCAAGTGTCATCTCGTGATTAGAAAACAGTTTAAAAAATACAAATAAGGGAACTAATGGTCTGATCCTACAAGAACTCCCAGTGCAGTTCATTCATTAAAGTAGAAGGGCATTGTGGGTATGTGGAGCTCTTAGCAGATGAAGCCCTAAGTCAACTTTCACAGCCTTTAATAAAACCCAACTACTTCTGATATTTTTCATTTTCTAATATAATTTTGTTTAAAATATCCATGCAGGTTGTGCATTAAGGGTTCAGAACAGATCTTTGTATAGAGATGTCAACATTTTCCAAAGGCACGTGTGCTTTTGTGACTGTCCATTTCTCAGTGCTCTACCTCAAACACCACAAAGGGGCCTAATTTTCAGAAAGTGCAGCACACTGACTCTCTGAAAATCAGGCCTAAAAGGGGACTCAGGGAGGGCAGCAAAAATTAGCCATTTTGGAAAACTTAGGTTGAGACATTTTGTCAAGTCCTGAAGGTTTGTCACTTTTATTGTGTATATACACATAACAGAGCAAAAAGCAATTTGTTTCATAACAGGAGTGCGTAGGTTTTTGTTTTTATTACTATGTTTTTAAATCTGTTACATCTGCAGGCAGTGAACAGGCAGATTCTATTAAATGTAATGGTAATCACCACTCCTCAGGCACCATACAGCAGCAGAGAGTAACTGAGGCAGATGATCAGCTTATGAAACCAAGGCGGAAAGATACACCATTTCAGCACCAAGCACCGTTTGTTCCAGGTAGGGCGCTTCAAGATGCACAATAGACTTTTAGATAGCGAAAGCCTTATCCAATTTCTCATTGACATTGATGAGCCTTTCTTTTGACTTTTATGGGAGTTGGAATAGGCTACGAAATGAAGACTAAGAATGTAATCGGGCTTTTGTGTGAGTTTCTGTTGCTGGGCCTTTCTGAGAGGAATGAGGGATGTGCCATGTTGGCATTCAGGTGTTGCAATGCTCCCGCCCGCCCCTCCCCTCCTTTCCCAGTGTAAACCATTTGTGTTCTCCTGTTCGTGGATACTGCCTGGTACTTGGGGGTAGGAGTGTGGGATACAAATCTTTGGCAAGGTATGAGGGGCCAGATCCTTACCTGGTGTAAATTGGCATAGTTTCACTGAAGTCAGTAGAGTGATGCCAATTTATGACAGCGGAGGACCTGGCCCATTCTTTCTCTAGACTGGTATTCAGAGGGGTGGAATGAACCCAGAGACCAAGTACATCACCACTATGAGGCACTTGGTGTCCACTGTGCTCCCAAGACTCATTCCTTGGCCACGTGGTATCCATTTTAATTTTCTTTTATAAACTGTGTTTAAAAAACTCATGCACACAAACACACACTCACACACACAAAACCTCCACTTCTGAGACACGAAGTGGCACCATGTGAATGAGCATGCTCCAGCCAATATAATGATGTATAAAACTGAGTTTATTACTAATAAGGGACTTGATCGGGGGTGTGTGTGTATATTCTTTGAACATATTGGTAACTAGCCCTCTGAAGATCTATTAAAACATAGAAAATCAAAAAGATTAAGATGATATTTCTAGAACACTTGTTTTTCTGTCTCTAAATTATTTTCCATAAAACAGAAGCGTCTTCTATTCAGATACTAGAATAATTCCTGTTGCAACACTAGAAATCCCATTGTACTACTGGCATCAGTTGAGTCCTGTGCAATCATGTAGTGGAATAAAGGGATGTAATTCCAACAGCCTTTGGGCGTCCATGCAGAACTGTCTTGGATTGCAACCCCGGGCACAGAAGGTTGGGGAGAAAAGTGGCAGGGCACGCCAGAGGGGGTAGCCTCGTTGGAAGCAGTACATTGTTTCCACGTGGGGAAGAGTTACTTTCAAGAGGGGAAGCAAAGAAGGAGTTGTGACTCTCTTTCAGTGTTCCCCTTGACGTGGCCAGCTACACACCACCTCATGCTCAGAGCTGAGTTTAAAGGCTCCACTTAGCCCTATTTGACATTGGACCAAGTCAGTTAACCTGTGTGTGCCTCAGTTTTCTTCCTGTATTGTTCACTATGCTGTACAGAAGTGCCTGCCTTAATTGTAAGTTATTTTATTTTAGGGGTCAGAGCAAACGTCAGCTGTACACTGTGGTGGAGATATGGGGCCATTTTTTTAAGCAAAGTAAAATAAGAAGATGAATTCCACATCCTTCAAAGGCATTAATGAGTTGTGTCATGTGTGCTCCATTTGCCTCAAATAACCATTGTTTTTGTCAAAAATAAATGAACTAACATATTCAAAAGTGATTTTGGGGGTGCCTCCATTTTTGAATGTCCAACTAGAGACAATTTAAAGAAACCTGATTTTTCAAAGGACTGAGCATCTGCCCTCTGAAAATTTGGCCACTTCAAAATGTCTCATGTTGGGGATTCAAATCAGTAGTTGTTTCTGAAAATCTTGGCCTGCGTGTTTCTCGTAGAGATGGGCCCAAACCCAAAACTTCATATCCAAACACCCCCTCTATACACTAGGGCGTTCAAAACACGAACTCAGATCTAAATCTGAGTTTTGCAAATAGCCATTATATGTCTAATGTGCCACAGCATAATCCAAACATGTCTGGGCTTTGTGGGTGGGGACTGGGGAGGAGGCAGGGTACACAATGTTAATTCAGGCTCACACTATTAAATCAGTCCCAGATCTTATCTCCAATTTTTAGAACAGATGTAATTACAGTAACATTTGGTAATTTCACATCTTGTGCTACCGATTAACCTTCTAAACTGGTGTTTTGATCAGGTGGATAAAAGCAAAAGTCAAGCTGTTGATTAACCACCACAGATTTTATGATGTGACCATGGAAATGTCATAAAGTTGCTTCATTTGCGCTCATAAATTATCAGGAATCCACAAATATGCTTTGAGGCAGTGATTTCATCTAAAATGTATTACCAGTTCAAAGTGTATTAGTGCACGCTTGCTGCAAATGGTTTGGCATTCAGGCTTTTTTCATCAGCATTAATTGGATTAAATTATCTGCAGTGAAATCTGAGCCTTTGATTAACACTTCTTGGCCTGATGGGGTTAAGAAAGCAAGACAAGAAAAAGGGAAGGCTCCAGGTAAAATAAAAAGCAGTGCTTATGCAGTCTTTCTTTTAGCGTGGGCTAGAGAATGAGTTTGAGCAAAGTAATTTTAAAGCACAGCCGCCTAAAGACACCAACTGATTGTTGGGTTGAGGAAGCAGGAGAGAAATAAGGGGCAAGGGAAATCAGAACGACAAGTGGAACTGAGAAGTAGTGCTGTAGAACTGATGGTAGAAGAGCAAAACCACCTACAAGAAGTGAGGTTTCAGAGTAGAATTTAAAACCTGAGCACAGGGACTGCGGAGTAGCAAATGAACAGAGCAAATGTAATGGAGCAAGAAGAGTGTGAACAGAGTGACCTTAGGGCATCCAGAGTAGAAGCAGAACAGAACATCCTCTGAGTAAGCAACCTCAGGGCAGAGTGTCAACAGAGCAAAGAGTGAGAGGGGTGAAGCAAACTGAGAAGTGGCTCAGGGCAGAGCATATTGTGAAAGCAAAATAACCTTAGGGCAGAATATAAGCAGAACTGATCGAGAGCATGAGTGTAAAGATGAACTCACAAGATTATTTGCAGTCTGAAAAAACAGATATTTGGGGGCAAGGGAGACTCATTTATGGATCAGCACTCAGACATATCGCGTTACAATTATTATTATGAAATCTATAACTGTATATGTTGATCTTAGCTCTCTCACATGTACAGAGCAACATCTGCTGCCTAGAATTTTGCCCATTACATTAATATTGTATTGTTTTTTTCTGAGTGATATTTTAGAGTCTATATTTGTGCTTTGACCTTGGTAAACTCTTGTATTGATGGATATAGATAAACCCTGAACAGCAGCTGCTCTTGTACCTCTTTCTTACTATTAAAAAAGGGCACCGGGTATGGCGTACATTGCTAATGTAACATGCATTAGGATCAGAATGAGAGAGGATAAGAAGAGTTTAGTTTTGTCTTTCCAGTTTTGTTTTCTACTTAATTAACACGGCTATGGAATCAGTTGTGAAGACTGTGATGGTGACCAAGGTTACAAAACTTTTATCTTAGTATCACGGAATAGATGATTGTTTAGTAAACAATTTAGATACTTCTAAATAAAAGGGTATTGGGTACAGATATGGGCACAACTCAGAGATTGGCCCAACTAGTTCAGAAAACTTAAAGTGCATTATCTGTAGCAATGTAGGATATTATTTTATTATCTGCTTATCGCTGGCTTACTGCTGAATCAGCTAGTTCAAACCACATAATCTAAAAAGCCCTAGAAAGTGAACTTGGAGAGGCTTTAAAGGCTGTCTGTCTGTCTGTCATAGTATCTCTTTGGCCTTGTCATAACATTTTGTACCATTGCTGCCACTATGGGGAATGTTGGGAGATCTTAGAGGTCTAGCGTAGGCACAGCTTTGTGACTTCCTGCATTTTTGCAGTCACGGATGTTCATTGCAGATTAGGTGAAAAAGCTAGAATTTTGTCCTGGTGGATTAAGCGGCTCCACCATGTGGTGCTTTAGAAGCATCCTAAGACAGTAAAGAAGTCATGTAACTTCCATCAAGGCTGAACAACAACAACAAAAGCTTTCACCTCTGAAAATACACAACAACATGAAAACAAAAAGTCCCAGTTAAGTGAATTTATTTCTTTAAACATTTGTAAACATTTATGGGGGTGCAACAATCCCAAACTTTTCCCAACAATATCTGGCTCGCTTATGTAAGTTAATGCTGACAATGTCAGTAGGACTTTTGCCTGCTTATGGACTGCCCGGTGTCAGAATTGTTGTGAGTAAGCAGTGGGCCAGTTAGCTGCTGGACACTGGTGGTTTCTGTGTTGCAGCAAGAAAATCTGACACCCAGTGCATAGAGTATAACTTGGGGCATGGGAGGGGGAAGCAGCTGTTTATTAAACATGGTTAGACGTTATCAGGTGTTTCGCCATCTGCACATCGTTACACTCTAGGTTGTTTTACTTCGTAGCTAGGTGACACGTTCCGTAATACCACTGATCATATGGGCTTGCCTTCATTTTGGAAAACTGCAGTGCAATAGTTTGGAGCTTACTGTGTAATATGCTGAGGCTTGTGACAAAGGTGATGGTGGGCTGTAGGTCGGGGAGATCAGTACTTAACACTGATTGTTTCCTTACGAAAAACACAGGTTTACATGAGAAACAAAAAGTTCAGTGTGCAATGCTCACTCAATAGCGTAACTCCCACTTTGGAATTGCACCCTAAAAAATAAACTTCACTCTTACCAAAATGTCATTCCATGGAACTACATCACACTGGTCTTATGTCCTGTGTCCTCCCCTTTAGCCGTAGCTCTTGTTTCATCTCCTAAAAAACCCCAGCTCTTCAATATGAAATATTCTGGCTCCTAGCAATTTCTGATTGATCTTTTTATTTCGTGTTCATTAAACAGGTACAGCAAATGTGCATATATAGCTTCTCCAGTGAGAAACAACAAGAGATGAATTTGCAGAGCCATCACATTGTTTTGAGTTGAATGCTCATAAACCTACATTTGTGGGGAATTAGAACACAAGTATTTCTCTTCTTTAAAGCCATTACCTAAAGCACTTGTCCCTGTTGTATGTGGGCACCCAAAATGTTGGGTTGTTTTTTTTCCACTTCTCACAGTTATGCAGTCTGATGCAAGTGGTTTAAAACATACTAGATAAAGCAGAACTGCGT